ATGTGTGCTATCACACTCTGGCTTCGGGCACTTTTTTGCTCTAGAACATTGCCGGAAACTATGATTGCCATTGAGACAAGCGAAGCAAAATTTCTGTTCAGCTACGTATTTTGCTCGCTGAGTAGCATTCTTTTCCTTAAAAACAGCACAATTCCACAATGCATGACTACCCTTACACAAAACGCACGGCGGAAACTTAGACTTATCCTGAGCCTTACTAGTTACCTGGCTATTGGCTGCAAAAACTTTGGTTGTTTTTGGTTTAACTGGCTCCTCGTTTTTTGCCTTAGAGTTGAGTAAACGTAATCTTTCATGCTCCTCGGCCTTTTCTTTCAACCAGTTGTTAAAGTCTAAGAGTGTTGGTCGCTGCCAATTATGTCTAACAGTATGCATTGACCAAGCCTCCTTGAGGTTAGGCGGAAGTTTACTAACAGCTTGGTCTAACAGGTTAACACTCTTTAGATCATTGTTGAAAGACAATGATTTGAAAACTGCTACGAGGCCAGATATGGCAGAGGAGAAACTAATGACATTTTCCGAATTGTGCATCTTAAGTGGAGGAAAAGTATTCAGCTTATCAAGATGCGCACCAACAATGGCATGTGGTTGCCCAAACTTCCGTTGCAAGGTGGCCAGTGCATCCTTGTACATAACGCCACTATAACTTAACTCCGCAATTGCAGTTTTTGCTTTGCCTGTGACGAGCGTTTTCAAGTATGTCAGTTTCGTATCATCGGTGAGAACAGCGGAATCAACGGTGGACTTAAACTGACCAAACCATTCGTGCCAGTTTAATGGGTTGCCGTCAAACTGGGCTAACTTCCATTCAGGAATATGATCTTTGCGGCTATGCATCAATAATTCCGCCAATTCACGAGCGGAGAGAGGTCAATCCGATGAACAACCTTGGTTCGGATAAGCGGAAGACGGTGCGTAGTCTTCGTTGACTGGCTGATAACCAGTATTAGTTTGATTGACAAAATGCGGAACATGTTGTGGATGAACTGGGGGAGTACTAAAATACACAGTCCCACCACTAGTATACGGAGCGGCGGTGTTACACGATGGGACAACAGTTGTCACATTAGAAAAAATGTTTCCAGCATTACAACACTGAGCAGGCGTGACGATTGGAGTTGTAGCTGCCAATCGCCATAAGTTTGCATCACTTGTGGAGTAATCGTTGATATTAGGTGACACAGTATGCGGAACAAAGGGAAAATTATGTTGCGTCTTGACTGGCGCTGCATGGCATTTAGGTGCCGAAAAGAAAACCGGCGTTGGGTTTACTCCAGAAGATGAGAAGCCACCACTAGCAAAAGCAGGTGACAAAGAAACAAAACCAGAACCGGGTTGTGCCGGTAACATTGTGACAGGTAATGATTCCGGTTGCGCGATGGCAAAACTACCATTAGTTATGTTTGAACTCATGGTCTGTAAAGGAACAGCAGACGGTGGTAGTAACACGTGTGCACTAGAATGCATATTTTTAACTGGGAAAGGAACAGAGGCTGGGAATGAAACAAGCTTGCAATGGCAAAAGGCTTGCGCTGCCAAACTGAGGCATAGCCCGATGTCCATGACTATGGATTCCAGGGTCACTCAATGCTGTGTGCTCATGTTTATGACTCTTACTGGTGTGAATTGCATGAGCGAGGATAGCGGAAGTCGTCGGTCCTGACGAAATGGGTACAGGAGTGAAGGCCTGCAAACCTGGCGCACTAGCAACGTCGGGAGGTGCTTGTGAACTAACAGAGTCTACCCAATCATTAGTTCGATCGGTTGCTACCTTTGAAATAGGTTGACTTACTCCTGTCGAGTTACTTTCCGCTACCTTCTCGCTAACCTCAGATGAACTGTCCTCAAGTTCAAACGCTTTCAGTTCCATTTCAATTAGTTGTTTTTATGACTTTCAGCCAATTGCTCTAGTTCCAGCTGACTTTGTTCGGACTTAAGACGGTTCTCTTGCTCTTTAAGTCTTAAAGACACTTGATACTGCCTTTCCAGTTCCTCATGGCGTCGTTTTACTAAAGCTAATTCATGCCGTTTCTCACTTGATGACATAGTGCGAACAGTCGACGTATGACGAGTGGAAGCAGATTTATCAGACTTATGTGAGTCAAGCTTTCTACTATCCTTAGACTTATTAGAGACCTTAGACCTGTTTTCAGATACTCGTGCTTCCGAATCTCTTGTTTTGTGTGAGCGTGAGGATGTCTCAGACCTAGTTTGTTGTAAAGATCCCTTGCTCCCTGTAATGCCGGCTGCTGGAAATGACGAAGGTTCAAGACTCATCTTGTAACTCTGAGCTTCATGCATTACTTTATCGTTCATTTCGGTTACTTTCTGAAGCCAAAGGTCTTGCTGAGCAATAATTTTTTCAGAGTTTTCCGCTTTTCCCGCTAACCTAATTAATTGATCATTGACGTCGACAGCTTTTTCCAACGCAATTTTACTTTTGTAAACAGCATTATCAATTTTTGTAGTGCGACTATTATTCTCAATGTACTCAAGTAATAATGAGTGACCTTTCAGCAGCTCATTTTCTAGATTTAGACGGGTTTCGAATAACTTGCGTATCATACTTTGGAATTTTTTGTCCATGTTTTTGACAAATTGACAATATTCTACGGATGCTCACTTATAGAAAACAATCAATAAAATAAAATACTGTTTTGGTACGTAATTAAATTTGCATTAGTAAATCAACATTAGCTTACAAGACGGGGGAACTTGACGTCTCAAAGCTTCTACCTGAAGCCTATTTCTTATAGCTTTCCGAGTTTTGAGGGGTAAGCGGTTTCGCTTCTTACGTGTCTTAAGGATGTTAAGATTAGCGCTATAACGCCTTAAAAGGAGGAGAGTCTTTAACTCAAGGGAAGAAGACTGGTGAAATTCTTTGTACTTCTCAATTAGTACCTGGTCCTTAGCCTTACGCTTAGAGATAAAGTCTTTAACGACGTTGAGAACGAGAATACCTGTTGAACCTAAACTTTCCTCTATATCCTCGGTTCCGTTCCGTCTTCAGTATACGATCGCACAAATGTTTGTCCTATACCTTAATAATAAATTGACAAGTTGCTCACTACTCAGCTTGCGGTTATTGTTACTGCGGTGCCTACTTATCGAGTTATTAATGGCGTCGTGCCAAATTACGAGGTCGTTACGGTGCGACAAGTAGTTATGAAGGTAGTACTGTATCGTTTTCTGAGAGTCCCTAGCGTTAAAGTTCAAACTTAAACCTGGCTTCGTAAAGCAAGTATCTTTGACGCGCTTCTGGGACGGAGCGTGAAGTTTTCGGAGCGCGTGATCCAAAGAACTAGCTCCTAGAATGAATACCATACACTTAGGGGACCTATGCGACGGCTTCGTTACGCTTAAGTACCAATGGGGTTGGAAAATTAAATAGGTCGGTTGAACTCCAACAACACACACGGAGTAAACCTCAGGATGAAAGAATTCAACTTAACTCACTTAATATCACCGTACCTGACCACTTAACTTTACTGTCACGCAACGAAGTCAATAATCTGACGGGCTGAAACGGCTTTGTTTTACTCGAAGCGAACTGGCTTTCAGTTTCACCAATGGTGGGTGGGGGATCAGGCAAATTGGTTAAGTTCCAACAACACACGCGGAAGAAATCTGAGGATGAAAAAACTCAACTTAATTTGCCTGATATTTCGCTACCAGACCACTTAACATTAGGTTGGTGTCATCTTACAGCACAGTTTCGCAGAATTCTGGAGACGTTTTGAGGATTTTTTGGCAATTTTTTTACTTTTTTCACAAAATTTTTCGGAAAATTTTGGTCAGCACGTTCGAGTCATAAACCAATCCAAAAAACTAGTCCAGTATCTCTTGTCTATTTTCCGATTTCACGGATTAATATTCCGTTCACAAATATCCAAAAACTTTTGGTATCGAGAAAAAATGTCAAGTCAGTTTGTCTATGTACCGACTGTAAGAAATTTCAGTTCAACGGAACTGTCCAAAAACTTCGGGTGTCGAGAAAAATACAGCTCCACTTCGCCCAAAAGTCAACAATCAGGACACCTGAACAGGCCTCTCTTCCGCCAGTCTGCTCTTTCGCCTGTCTGCTGTATCGTCTGTCGGCCCTTTCGGCCAATCGCCCACTTTCGTCAAGAAAACTGTGTGAAGCGTTTCGGCCAATTCGGTACTCTGAAGACTTTCGGCTAAACCGCACAATCTGACGATTTTCGGCCAGCTGAACAATTTAACAGCTTTCGTCCAAATGCCCACTTTCGGCTAATTAGACACTTTTCGGTCAAATGCCCACTTTCGGCCAATTAGAAACTTTTCGGCCAACCGCTCACTTTCGGCCAATTAGAAACTTTTCGGCCAACCACTCACTTTCGGCCAATTAGACACTTTTCGGCCAAACGCCCACTCTGTGTCCCTCGGTGAAGCTCGTGTCGTAAAGAGAAGACCTCGGTGTCCCCCTTGTGTCCCTCGGTGAAGCTCGTGTCGTAAAGAGAAGACCTCGGTGTCCCTTGTGGGGCGCCAAAATGTGCGCTCAATCTGAAAAAACTGTATAAGACAAATTAAATTATGAGTATTTTTCGGTAAACACGCATAACAAGAAATAAGCAATGTCAACGGTTTGCATAATCAAGATCACAAAATCAACTTGTTTCGGTACAACTCGTTTTTGAGATAATTTCGCGCAAGCTAGCCACAAGAACCGGTCGGTAATGTCCTTGAGACAAATTGCTCTTTTTGGCGGTCAGCCTTAATCAAGGCTGAACCGAATTAGAACCAAAAAACAGTTAAAATAGGATGTAACTCCCATTTATAGTATATTAATACATGGGCAGGTGGGGGACTCGAACCTACGTCAACTGTTATCCTATATAATCGGCGTTAGCTTAGGGCACTCGGCCAACTGTGCTTATTTTATATGCTTCTATACTCTTGTTTTATTCTGTACTTTTGTTTTGCATTGCAACACTTTTCTTTACCTTTGTGTCGTTTTCCAGTGAGGAGTGGTACTGGGACAACTATGAGCAGTGGTATGAGAACTGGGACCCATTTGAGGCCTATGATGGCGTGGAGTGGTATGACTGGGTGGCAGTGTATGAGTTGAGCAGTATGCCAGACTACAGTGACTTTCGACAGTTCGCCATATTTGACCAGAAACAGTTCAACCATCTTGGCACTCAAGTAAGTCAAAAAGGTTTTCTCCTAGTATAATTTCACATTAAAATGTCTTGGTCAAAAATAAAGCTATAAGAACGTTGAGGCAGATATTTTGATAGTGAATTTAATTGAAATCGTTTGGTTCTGCATATGGTTCTGGTTTTGAAACGTTTGTAATGTTTGTGATAGTATGGTTCACTTATAAAACTTGAGTTTTCCAGGACAAGATTGTATATTTTTTTCAGATATTTTTAGAGTTATCTGCGTAATCCATTGAGTTCTTACTCTTAATTTAGTTGACTGACTTTGTGGTGCAATGTACTTTCAATGGACGCCTGTGCAGCATGAATGCAGACTTTGTGCAGATTCAAAACCCCAAGTACGGCAATTGCTACTCATTCAACAGTGTCCTCAACAAGCAGATAGATAATGCCACAGGAGAGTTCCAGAGAATAAGGGGCTCGTCCAAGACAGGTCAGGAGTATGGACTGAAAGTGACCTTGTTTCTAGACTTCGATAACTATGTGGGATCTCTTGCTCATGACGGAGGAGCACAAGTGAGTGATATACTTTTCTCATTTTAAGATCATTTTTGGTTCAGAGAAATGGTCTGCTGTTTCACCTTCTATAGTGTCCGAGATTATTTCGCCAAGGAAAATATCATCAGTTTGGAACCGATTTTCTATCCTCGTGTTTTTCCCCAACAAAATAACTTTACTCATCTCAGTCTGAGGAAATAAGAGAACTATGCTTAGACAGGCTGGATTAAGCATAGTCCTTTCATAGTTTCTCTGCGAAGCGCAGAAACCACAATTTCTGTTTTTAATTAGTGATCTATGTTGTTCAGGTGGTCATTGATCCTTCTGACCAGTACCCTCTACCGGAGTCATACGGAGTGACAGTCTCATCCGGCTCAGTGGCCAAGATTGCAGTGCGCAAGGAGATAATGGAGAGAAAAGGCGGCAAGTTCGGACCCTGTATTTCCGAGTTCCCAGCTGAACTGAATGTTCCGGATGATATCAGGAGGCAGTGGCCGTATAGTTCAGAAGTTTGCGACTTGTTTTGTCTGCAGACGCTGCTTTGGAACAAATGTGGATGTGTGGATAACTTTATTGGTATGTTTATGATGTCTTTCATTTTTTGGATTGTTGTGCGGTTATGAACAAAATTTTTGACTACGAGAGCACTTATGAAGACAATTTTGCTTCATTTATTAGCATTGGAAACAGTAATTTTTCATTGTCAATTCGGTCAGTTTTGAAAAAAAAAACTAATGGGGAAAATTCTGGTTGATAGGGTAAGGCGACTTTTTCAGGCAAGTTCTATGAGGACAACAATACTTCAACCAACAAAATTTGTCAAGCGTGGAGCCCAGAAGAGCGCAATTGTGTAAACAGCCTGTACAAACTAGTGAATGCCGAGGATGCTTCGGTCGCTTGTCCATGCCAACCCGCTTGCCGAAGCGAGCTGTACCAAATGTCCATCTCCGAGTCAGGTCTGAATTTAGTCAAATACTCGCCGCCTGCGCTTTTCTTGGTTTTTCGCCTCGTTTTTGTGAAATTAGTTTCACTCTAAAAAGTAAGGTGTTGCTGTACGAGCTCATTAATATCATAGTAGTAAAGTTTTATTTAAAAAAGCGAAAGAAAATTGTCTGATGCTCAATAGTGGTCTGTTTTCCAGCTCAAAATAAGTTGAAATATGAAATTTCTCAAATGAAATTATGAGAATTTTTCTCAACTCTTCTGGTTTCCAAAACATATTTACAATTAAGGTAAATCGAATCGTTCATTGTTCTATACAAATACTCCCCAGAGAACTAATTTGAGCCCATTATTTCAAAACCCTTTTGTTTGTTGCGAGCCTGTTTCCACTGCAAGAACTTTTCTAAAACTAGTTATGATATACAAGTTTTCTCAAATTTTAGCCCATCTAAGTCTTTTCAAATAGTTTCATCTAATCTTTATCGAAGTTTTAACCCTCAATCTTAAATAAACGCAGGAAAATAGACAAAAATGCGAAGAAAAATTTTGTTCATTTGCTCGTTGAAATCAAGAAGTTGCAATTTCTATGTCCCGTGACTGTATATCTAATTCAAAGTATTGCTTGAAATATTACTGATTAGTTTTATGACTGAGAAAATTGTACCCTGATTTAGTGTGGCCTACTCTACAATACACACCTTACTTAATCAACATCCTCAGAAGAGAATCGGACTCCCGAACTCTCCACTTATGGTTCGACTCCGTCTTCCAACACTACAGCCATCAAACTCAAAGTGGCATGGATGAATTGCAGGAAGAAATGAAGAAGAACTTCCTCCGGGTTGAAGTGTATTTTCAACATTTCAACTTCGAGCGGATTTCGGAGTCACAGGCATACAATTTGCAGGCTCTAATGGCGGATTTTGGAGGTAATATTGGACTGTGGATTGGCTGGAGTGCGTTGACGGCGTGTGAAATTTTGGTGTTTTTATTCAACTTGGCGAGAGGACTATTCAAGAAGTGACAGAATGCAAGAACGAACTAGAAAATCAAAAGTGAATCAATTTTCAGATTTTCCCATTCACAGTAAAATACGCATGTTTTGTTAGTAGTTAGTTATAAACAATCAATCTGTACAATTTTGACTGCAGTTCGACTTGATTTGTAACTTCAATTGTAATTTCATTCAGGGGTAATAATTTAGCCATCAATTTGAGCATGAAAATTATAGATAGATTTACGAGTGATCCCACTCCCATAATCCTTGTTGGTAAAAATATTCTTAAAAAACTAACATTCAGGTACCAGTTTTTTTGGAAAGTTTTTGAAACCTAAGAACAGTTTATTTTACGTGGTGTTGTCAGGTGATATATGATACTAGCTGTAGCTACTGCTTGAATTTTTAAACGTTTCTACTCCCCCGTATGTCAATCTGAATATTAAAAATAATTTTCTTTCATTTTTGTTAATTCTTTAAACTAGCGTCACGCCAGCTTAGTGTGTTATTAAGAACTTTTTTTTTCTAAACCAAGTCGCAAACATTGGTGCCACTTTTGAGGCACCTTAACAGCTTTTTGAAAGCATGTGCTTTGACATTCGCGTAGTAACATAGTCGATGCTATTTTAATTCATCCAATGAACCGAAAAAAGCTATCCTAACCTATATATTTAATGAATGACCGAAAAATGCAGGCCATGATTTAGCTGACCTATGGCGCAATGGTTAAGAGCGATCAATCAGCTCAAAGTTTAAAAAAATTTTCAGAATTAGGAATATCCTAGAATTTTTCAGTCAATTTCAAATTGACGCGTCAAATTTTTTAAATTTGAACTTTTCGCCATCCGAATTGCTTCATACAATAACTTTCAAATGTTTCAAAGTTTCATAGCTGAAATTGCTTGCTGAAAAAAAAAATAAATTCTTGCGAACTGATTCAGTCTATGAAACTAATTCAAAGTTTCATAGCTTGCTTAGAAACATAAGATTTCGCAAACCGATTCAGTCTTTGAAAATACCTGAAGTATTTCAAAGCTTGAGTAGCTTGCTTAGAACAACTCAAACTTTTCGCGACCCGATTCGGTCTATGAGGGAATTTGAATTATTTCAAAATTTCATAGTTTCATTAGCTTGATTAGAAAAACAGTCCTCTCGCGAACCGATTCAGCCTATGAAATAACTTGAAGTAAATCAAAGTTTCATAGTTTGATTAGATTGTCTACAAAAACCGTTTCGGTCAATGAAATAACTTGAAACATTAAAGTTTCTTCGCTTGAATAGCTTGCTTAAATGAAATTTTCTTGAACTGATTCGCTCTATGAAACAACTTGAAATATTTCAAAAATACATTGATTGAGTAGCTTGCATGGAAAGTTTTTTGTGAATCAATTTGCTTTACGAAAAAGCTTCAAAGTTTCATCGTTTGAATAGCTGGCTAAGAAAGACTGAAGTTTTTTGTTTCTCGCGAACTGATTTGCTCAATGAAACAACATGACATTTTTCTAAGATTTTTTGCGTGAATAGCTTGCATAGAAAAATTAAATTTTTCGAACCACGATTCAGTTTAAGAACTAACTTCAACTACTACTAAAGCTTACATGGCTGCAATAGAAAAACCTAAAAGTTCATAGCTTCCTTAGAAAATGCTTTAAAGTTTTGTGACCCCATTTGGTCCAAAGCAACTTGAATTTTATCAAGGTTTCATAGCTTGGATGGATGGCTTACAAAAAAAAACTAATTTTTAGCGATCCGGTTTTATTTGATTTATAATTTGATTTGATAACAAATATTTGAAAAACAATCTGATCTCAATTCTCGTCGGTTTAGTTTTCGTCCTGCTTTTTCGTCAGACGCTCAATTTGTTACCGTTTTTTTAAAACAGCGTTCTATAATCGTTATATGTTTATGAAGATCGAATATGCGAATCAGTTTTTTGTCGACTTTTTTAGCTTCTGATTATTGACTGAAGCTGTTAATTTTTTTTGATAGTTGCATGTGAGTGTTTATGCTTACCCAATGACATTCATATAGGAGCTATTCAAAGCTTTAATTTTTAAGTTTTTTTTCGGCTGTCGATGTATTTTTTTTGCTAGAAAAGCAAGCTAGTGAGCGTAGTTATGTACTACGGATCCACTTGTTTCTACAGCAACTTGCAAATCAAAGTGCTCATTTAGTGAAGTTTTTTTAGCGTAGCCTTAGACATTTTGATAGAGTTTGTCCTATCGGCTTTATTTGTAGATATGGTGTGCTTGTTTTCAAGCGTCCAGCGCGCAGATGGAAGACGTTGGTCTCGTAATATCCAGGTCGATGGTTCGATGCCGGCACATCCTAAAAATTAAGTTTTTCAAAGCTTGCTTCTTGTGATTTTTCATTCCTGGTTTAACTTTTTTGCCCTTTCAGATATACTTTTTGCTGTTTTCTCGCTTGTTTGCGAAGTGCAGGCTTCGCGTTTGTGTGTTTTTTTCTGATTTAGTCCTTTAGTTTTTTAAAAGGGTTGCATTATATCAACCTGAAAAAAATCAATCGGTGAAAGCGGTTTTTGCGCTTGAGATACGTACGCGTTATGCTATCGGGTAATATGTGTTTTGTAAAGGTTACCAACTAGTTTGCTTGCAAAGAACATAACAATAATAAAAACTCGATTTCAGATTTTTTCTAGTACAATGTATCTCACAATTTTTTGTAACGCATAATTTTTACATAATGTGGCTTTATGCTTGGCTATTTGTTACATGCAAAATTAGTGTGGATGCCTTTAGTTTGTCATATTCCAAACTAATACTTGAAAAATTGTGTCTATTTGTCTGGATTGCTTTGGTAATTTATTAGCATATGCGGCTGCTTTATTCGTGACTAGTATTTGTCAATGGTTAAGCATGCGTGGCTGAGTAATTAGTGCGTGAGACTCAAAATCTCTTGATTGCAGTAAGTCGCTGATCGTATCCTAGACCTAGCCGATTTTTTGCTAATTCGAGGCTGATTATTTGTTTCTTTTTGCACTTTCTAGAGCTGTTTTTTGCTGTGTTCTCGCAAATGTTTGCGAAGCGAAGCTTCTCTGTGTAAATAATTATTTTCATATCATGTTCTTACACGAGCGTAGCATAGTACGATACAATTTTTTTTAGCCTAAGTTGCAATTAAAAAAGCTACTTTTGTTGGCATTTTTGAAACAGTAGGCAGCTTTAGTAGTATAATATCATTTGCTTTGAAATTTGACTAGTAACAATTTGATTGTTATAAAAATTAACTAGCAATAAGTTAACATAGTTGATTTTTTAAATTCTTCAATTGAACAGGAAAATGTTTTTTATTCCATGCAACACTGTTTTACTCAAAATCCCATTTCAAAATTTTTCCTTTCCAATATTATTTTGGAGATTTTGGAACTGCATAAAAGGTACGAAGTTTGGTTTAAAATATTCCAATTATTATTACTTGCTTTATTTCTTTAATGGCCTTCAGTTTATCGCATTCCAATTTGTTACATGCAAATTTTGAGGATTTGTGCATTTTAAAACTTTCGTGCATCCGACTCGCGATCTTGTTTGCGAAGTTGCAGATTCGCCTTTGTCTCCAACTATGTTATAACAGGTACTAATATCAATCAGGAGAGCAAGTTACTATGCAAGTAGTAATTCAAGCATTCAGAAAGTGAAAAACTTTCCTGTCAAATTTTTTTCTAAAAATCAACTAAATTGGATAAAAAACTGCCAGAATGAGCAATAACTATTGCCTACAACGCACTGAAGCTAGCGAGCGTTGTGGTATTATAAGAATCTATTTTTTCTTCCCAACTAGCAATTAAAAGTGCTTATTGGTGAAATTTTTGCTGCATAGCTGTGGCAAAAAAAAATCATAAGTGGAGAGGTAAACATACGCGAGGAAATGAGATTCCTTATCATCAGACCGAAAGTTTGATTCCGGGACAAAATAAAGTTTTTTTAATTTTTAACATGTGTGCACACTATTTTACTTTTTTCATTTTTTCAGAGTTGAATTTTAACGTCTTTTTAAATTGTATTAGCAAAGAGCAGCTCTGCATCTGTATTTAATAATTCAGTTCTAGTAGAATTAAAAGAGAAGGTCAGCTTCTCATGGATTTTAGTCTGATTTAATCTTAAAATCAATATTATTTATGCCATTATTTCAAATCTGAGACAAGACAAAATGGTTTTCGAAGCTTTTTTGTAATCTGAATAATAAAAAATGTGGCCTTTAAAAGAGATAATTCTCAAATACTTACAAGCGCTTTAGGTGCCTAAATTCAGGTGAAGAAAGCTTAATCTGGGCCATAATTCCCTCTTTTCACCTTTTTGGAACATGGGACAAAAGTATTTTAAAAAATTGTATGATAGTTTTTAGATAAACGTCATTAATTGTTTTCTTTATTATATTAGTGAGCTTGCGAGCGTTATTGTAATTTAACAAATCTTCCTTTTTTCTAACCTCATTCGCAAATAAATATGTTTCTTTTTTGGTGGCAAAGTTTTCATTAATTGGTGGCACTTTAGCTATAATCACCAACTGAAGCATTGGAATTTTCATAGCATCTGTCCTCTGCTTCATTCGAGGCTAGTGTTTTTGATCAATTAAGCGTCTGCGGCTGAGCGCTTGGCGCGTGAGACTCATAATCTGTAGGTCGTCGTAGGTTCGAATCTGAGACCTAGCCTTTATTTTCTACTAATCCGAAGCTTATTTCTACCTTTTCTTATTGCACTTTTTAGAACTGATTTTTGTCGTGTTCTTGCTTGTGTTTGCGAAGCGCATCTTTGCCTCTGTGTTGATTATTGTTAATATTTTTTGGCAACTGTTCTGTTGTTAGAGATATGTTTTTCTAAAAATGTAAACTATTGGCTTTTTTATGCCTTTTACTTCACTTTTTAAAATGTTTTGTTTCGTCGTTTTGTTGACAATTCAATTATTACAATTCGACTTCTGCAACCCGTTTTTCAATTTTAAAAGGTATTTTGTTCCATTTTTAATTTATTTGAAGTAATTTTTTTTAAATGTATTTTTAATATACGAAATTTTTTCAACTTTTTGCAATTGGTTGGCTTTCGCTTCTTTTTTTTTCAGGATTTTTTTTGCGTTCTAAGAATCCACCTAAATAATTGTATGGGCAATTTTTATAATTTCACTCAATAGAAAAGCGTGACTTTTTAGCGTAAACATAAATGTTTTTTCTCGATTTTATAAAGTTGTTACG